ACTTGGTTTAATCACCACTGTGCCGAGGATGCAAACATTACAGACCGTGCAAGCATACGTCTGTGTGACGAACTGAATAACAAGCCACGCACATGAGCAGGATGCCAGATTACTTCCTGAAACTACGGCATCTTTAACAGCTCAATATAGACTGTTGTGAACAGTGACTGATCTACAATAGGTATTTAGGAATTCACTAGATTTGGAAGGGTTTATTTTTTGAGATGAAGACCTGTCTAGGTATTGGTCTAATACACAATTGAAGTCACCCCCAATTATTACATTAGACTGGGACATATCCGGAATTAAATCAATTACCTTACTGAAAAATTGTGGGTTATCAAAATTTGGCCCATTTAAATTAACCAAAGTCAGTGGGGATGCATGCAGTTCTCCCGTCACAATAATGTGCCTACCCTCCTTATCAGCTATTGTGGCTTTATGTTTAAATGGAATACCTTTATGAATCAGAATTGCAGTGCCCCTGGCTTTAGAGGAAAAATTGGAGTGGTACAGCTGTCCTATCCACCTGCTTCCCAGCCTGATGTGTGAGTCATTCTTGAGATCAGTTTCTTGCAAGAATATTATGTCAATGTTCAGGGATTTTAAGTGGGCTAAGATTTTACCCATTTAATACGCTCATTTGCACCTTTGATATTCCAGCTACAGACTGTGATGCCTTTTCCTCCTATTTTGCTTGCTACATTGTCCTGCATATCCTACTGTTACAACCTGGCCCGCAGGGGAAAGGGAAGCAACACAAAAACCCACATGGTAAAAGGTAAAGCAGTTCATTGTAACTTAAATTAAAGGATACTAGTTAACAATAACTCAGGACAAACCAAGGAAGAGGGCCAGTGGGTGCTGTTTAAATCAAAAACAGAATATAACGAAAAGAGGACTCTCTTAGAAGCTATGAAGCTTACAATCTGACTAATCAAAAATAAAAGAAAAACAAATTCTGACTACCTAATCAAACTGTAAAACCAAACAACAACAAAAACAGCACCCCTGCACCTAGTGTCTCGAATACAGAGAATTACCTGTGTGTGGAGGAAAATACGTGGAATCAGTCAAAAGTCTTTGAACAAGTTCTAAAACCTGGCCACACTTCAAGGTTTTAAACAGAGTTCACAAGATCTACCAAAAAATTACAACATGCTACAAAAAGCTACAAGTTGGCTTTCTAACAACACAACACAAAGTTCTCCCAACAACAAGGTCAGCTGCCACTAACAGTCAGCCAGCTGGCAGGGCTTTTGTAGATGCTGGACTTAATTGGATGGCTGGGATTGGCCCACTGCACTGGTGCCGCACCAATCAGGGACCCAGGTGAGCTGTGGACTGGGAGGTCAGGAACACTGGAGGCCGCACCAATCAGGACAGAGGGGGTGGAGCTTCTGGCTCCAGGGGCTGTGCAGGCAGCTTGGCAGACAGAGGAAAATTTTAGACTTACATACACACACACAACGAAGGTGGAAAGAGCGGCGGCCGTAACACCTACCTAGAGTAGTTGTCATTTGTTGAGTTAAAGCGACACTTATCTTTCTAGAAATTTTACGCTTTTCTTTATTTAGGTTAAAATGCTATTAATAAGCTGATGGCACACTAAAATGTAAGTGAATTCCACCGGAGATAAAAAGTCATAATTATACCATTCTCATATGGTTCTAAGAAAACTCAGACCAATCATTGCATTTCGACCGAATCCAGTTGCTAATGGCTAACGTTAGCCTACTGTAGCATAGCCTCTGAAACATTAACGTTATCTTCCTTGTGCATTTCCACTCACTAGTAATGTTAATGCTACTATCTAACGTTAGCACTGTAACCTTACTCTAAAACTCATCAGTCATCACTGACTCCGGTTGAGTTTTAAAACTCCAGGGTTGCGGTTGGACGTAAATATAGACAGTGCAGGCAGTGCAGTTGCACTGGGGCCCATGGGGTGGAGGGGCCCGACTGCCACCTGGAAATACACCCGTGTTCAAAGAAGAACTCACATTTAAACAAAAATGGTGCTATTTCCATACATGCCCTAAATAAGGCAAATTCATCTCCATCATGGTTTTCTGGTTTTGTAAAACAGTGTCAATCTATAATAAATTATAAACTTATTCTACATAAACTATTTAAAAAAAATAATTTACCAATAAAAAACTATCAAGTTAAACTGACAATTTCTATTTTCTTTGGTAGATTTGTCTTATACAGATATGTAATGATGATTGCTGTGTAATATGTATGTTAATGTGTCCAATATCAAGTATCTGCAAATGGATGTAACATAAAAGCGGCAGTAAGACATGTGCTTCATAACTTGTAACTAGGGCGTAATAGGGCCCCTCGTAATAGCGTGCACTGGGGCCCATCGTAACTACCTTACGCCACTGTGCCAATGCCTACGTCTATCATAGGCGTAATGAGGACGTAATGGAGGAAGGGGGATGGGACTTTGGAGGGAGGCGGGAGTTGTGGATGTTCAAATTTTTTCTAAGTGCTATGTGAAATGCAAGAAAGGTAAGAGTAGCTTCAAATGTTCCATCTTACTTGGTTAAATTGTGTTATTATGTTAAGTCTGGGCAACCCCTCTCCCCCCTCCCACCTACCTCCCATAACTACACACAGATTCCCAGAAAACAATGAAAAAGTACTGAGGTAATCAGGATACAAATAAAATTAAAGCTGCAAGCAGCGTTGGGTGGACCTCGGACTCACGCCGTTTTGGCCTCCAGCTCACGTAGACAGTTAAAGAAAAAAGTTTTCGAAGATTTTAGACCCCTCTCCACTCTAGCTCACAGCTGACAATTTCTCCACATTTGCTCATCTTAATTTCAGAGGCACTAACTCACTCCCTGTTGGATTTAGGTCAGGGGTGTCAGCATGTGATTTGTAGGTGCTGATTAGATGAACAAGCCAGTTTTGGTTTAATCTTTGTCTGACATTCCTACAGGCCGCAGTGGCCTTTTTTGTGTGTCTACGTGGTGCTAGAGAGCAAATTTTGGCACTTTGGGGGTTATTTTTTTCATTTGATCAAATTTTTCACTAGTCCTGACATGCGTGCCAATTTTGGTGAGGATTTGAGCATGTTTAGGGGGCCAAATTTGTATTTTTGTGCACCAGTGGGGCCCCAAGCCGAACATGCCAGTTTTGGCATGTTTAGGGGGTCAAATTCCAGCTCAAAGAGGCGGCGGGAGAAAGACTAAAGAAAGAAAGAATAATAATTATAATAAACGTACCTCTGCCTTCAGCCGAGGTCCCTAATAATAGTAAAGGCCCACAAAACCTCAGAACAGTAGACTAAAAGCAACCTTTCCATATAATTAACTTCTAATACTATTATTAACTAAGTAACTCTGCAACTTTAATGTATTTGTGCAAATCACCTCAGACCAAAGCTGTCCCTTTAATCGAGTACCTTGAAATTTAACTACATCATGAGGGAAGTAAGAGTATTGAGTATCTAGTAGTAGTATTTTAAGTGTCAAAAAACATAACCAAATATGAATTCTATGGGCATAAGCCTCATAACAGTTAGCTCTCAGTCAGTTGTGGATTTACCATGTGCACTATGGAGGGTCTGAGACGGACATAGTCCCGTATTTTCATAATACTTATCCCGTGGTGGCTCTAGCAATGTTCTCGCCATACTGGAATGTCTCTTTAGGGTCAGCGAAGAGGGAGTCAGAACCATCATACGTGACTCAGAGTTTGGCCGGTCCAAATTTGACCACTGGTATGTCTCTCAGTACTCCTCTGGTTTTGGAAAAAAGTGCCCATTGTTTGACAATTTCTGGGGGTAAATCTCGGAAGATCTGTATCCGTTGTCCTTGGTAAGACAGGTCCCAATCTTTTGTCACTTTGCGGAGGATTTCTTCCAAAATATGGCAGTGATGTGCTTGCAGGATAAGATGTCACGGGGTGCGCTGTCCTCAGTGCCCTGTGTGCTCAATCGAGCATGGGCTTCTCATCCAGTGCGAGTGTGTCCTGAAGTAGTTTAGCTGTGAAGTCCCGGATGTTTTGACCATGTTTTTTGCTTTCTTTCACTCCGGCTATTCTCAGATTTTGATGCTTTGAGCGCCCCTCCAGATCCAGACATCTTTCTGACAGTTTTGTCACCAAGCCGGAGATGCGTTCCACTTCGGCTTTCAGCTCGTTTGTAGCATCAGAGTTAGCTGTAGCCGCTAGCTCTAGCCCTTGAATGGTTTTACAGTGAGTGTGTGAGGTAGCCTGAAGGGTTTCTAGCTTGCTGTTGATACCGGCCTCCAGTCGTATAATTTCCCCTTTCAGAGTGGCAGTGACCTCCTCAATATGGGAGTCGATGTTGGCACATATTTCCTGTTTCACTGCGGAGAGCTCCAGACGGAGGAGTTCAATAGCTTGTAGAACCGCCGCATGGTTAGCTTTCTCTTCGCGTGGCTGTTTCTCAGGTGAGCCCAGGGCCTGGGTGAGGCCTTCGTCTCCGTCTCTTCTCCTTTTTCAGTTTGGGTGGTATTGTGAGCTATTAATGTTGGTGCTGAAGTTTTGTCTGTTTTTTTTCTCGTAGTTGGTACAGTGAGAGACAGTTCTCGTTCTGCTTGTAACTTATTTACTCAGCTACTTAACCGTGCGTCCTAGCTCTCCATAGCGCCACCTGGAAGTCCACGAGCTATGTTTTTTACTGCAAAGGCAGTGTAATAAAGGGTCTTCAGCATTGCAGTCAGGAACACAAAGCATTGCATTTGTTCTAATAGTGTAAAACAGAAAAGTTTGCATTATTCCAAAAACTACAGGGGGACAGCCCTGCAAGAATACATTTTTACATCTGTGGCATTCTTTTTACACCTCAGTGAAATGGTTCATCCTGTTGGTCACTAGATTCAAAGCTTAATTGGGGGCAAATATCTGTTTAGAGAAAAATCAAGCAGTCCTGGTAAAAACAGTTTTAAGTGTAAGAATCAATATGCATGTATGAATTTAAAGCAGTGCTCTGTAATACATACTTTCTTGTTTGTGTCCAGCCATGGATGCAGCCGTCAGTCACTGCTCCCTCACATTAACCTCCATGTTGCTGCTGCTGAGCTCTACCTGCAAGCTGACGTGACCCGAGGCTCTGCTGCTCCAACCACCAACCACATCTACTGAAGGCCCCTGCTCTTTAATGATCCCCTGGCAGTAGCTAAACCCCCACCCAGCTGTTCCAGCACCACTGAACATTAAAGGTGCAGCAGGACTTCTACCCTGGGGGAGAAGGATATGATAAAGCATCAGCCACAGCGTACCAGTCCAGATGCTGTACAGCTTGTCATCGCACTGAGCAACTTTGCCGAGGGGTACTCTGCTCTGACTGATTATGAGTTTGTAAGAGGCTCTAACTGCATCACACTAAGGGCAAAGATAGATGTGTGTGATGTCACCTATTAATGTCTGCAGGGTTCATATTAGATCCCAATGAATAATGGCACTGGTAGCCATGATAGGCGACAGGCATATTTCATTTTTAGTGTGTTCCATCAGGAGAAAGATTTCTGAAAATGCTTCTGTAAAACCTAAAGAAACATTCTTTCATTTATTTTTTCAGGGAGCAGAATAACATCAAGCAGGATGACTCCCTCCCTTCTTGTTACTCCTGAAAAGGGCTTTGTGCTGATGTCACAGTGTTTTCTTATTCAAATGATGGAGTGATTGGGAATCTAAGAATATGTTATTAAAAAGCTCCGTATTATCCTCTAATATTTAGCATTGTCTTAGTAAAACATTTACCTCCAAATGTCTACATCCATGTAGACTACTGCTTGAACCAGACTGAGAGTCTACAGCCATGCCTACAACTCTGTGAGCCTGCACTTGAGAAGAGTTAAACGGCAGAACTCCCATGCAGTATCACGTATGCATGTGCTAGTTCCGCAGCCACCGTTTTAGATATGTGCATGCATGAGTTCTGGAGCCACCATTTTAGAAGTGCATATGCACACATGCATAAGCTCCAGAGGGTGGGGTATCACTCAGTCATTTTTTTGATGTTGCCAATCAGAGGCCCACAATCCCGTCAGTCACAGTAGTAGGAGTAGTCAACATTTCAGCTAGCTAGCTATACTAGCACTAGTAGCTAGCCTCTGTGTATCAACTCACTGATCATACGGGAATATAGTAAATTCCTCCACTACTCATTTTACAAGGACCATCACAAGAAAGCATGTTTTTTGTTTAAATTACTGGACAATTAATGGACAATGAATCATAGCTGTTTGTTTCTGGCTGCCAGCATTAGCTAGTGTAGCTAGCACACTAGTTAAGTTTGCCGAAAAGTTGTTTATTTCCACTTCAAAATGTTGATTAAAAAGATGTTGCCAAGGGTTAATGCTAAAATGGATGGTCCGGAGGGTAGGGGCATGAAACCCCTGGGGAAAAAAATGACGAAGTCCAAGGCTCCACATTCAGGGGTGTTTGGACACTGGAGGAAAGCCATCAGACCCTGCTGATGTCCTGACCTCCCTCTTGTTCTTCTAGTGGAGGAGCAGAACACAGCCTGGGTCAGCAGGGTTTGCATGAGGCTCCGTAGGGGCTTAGAGCCAGGACACTTGTCATATTTTTCCCTGGGAGGTTTTTTGCCCCTGTCTTCTGGATGGATGGACTTGTTCCTCTGGACCATCCATTTCAGCAGGAATCCAAGTCAAATTATCAACAGATGGCAACGTTTTTAATCAACATTTTAAAGTGAAAATAGACAACTTTTCAGCTAATTAACGCTGGCAGCCAGAAACAAGTATCTATGAGCCAGCGTCTGTTTGACAATCTAAACAAAGAACGTGTTTCCTTGCGGTGGTCCTCCTTAAATGAACAGTGGTAAAAGTTGCTATAATCTGTAATGATCCATGATTACGTACAACATAAAACTGAGGGTCTGGCACTCACACACGCATATGTCTAAAACAGTTTCTCCCCACATCCGACAACCTCAGGTCTGTGAGCCAAAGTGAGACAGTAGGGTCTGCATAAGGAAGATGTGTCACTTTGATTAAGTCTTTTCAAAAATTATTATTGTTATTATTATTATTGCTATTACTACTTGATCTGAAAATTTTGAAAGTTTCTCTGCTTAAGACTTTAAGTAGTGTTGACAAATTTTTTTTGTTAGGTAAAAAAAAAAAAAACTATCTCTGTTCTGTCTTGTGGTTTGTTTGGTGTGAAAGAAAAATTACAGTTAAATAACCTAAAATACAGACAATATAGATACCAACCTGGCTGATGTTACATAAAGTGCAAGTGATGGAGAACATTGATGTAAGCCCTATAAAACCATGTAAAACAGATTGTAATATTGTATCCTCTGGATACAAAATATAAAAATATAAACCTCCATTGTTGTCACTGTTTGATTTTGCTGAATTATGTATGTCTAAACTCATATTGCCTCCTAAACTATACATCAGATATTGACATCAGCTTTATTGGCTGACTCTTTTTTTTCGTTGTCCTCAATGTACTTACACAAAAATAGACAGAGCTAAACTAAAGGACAACAAAGTTGAACAAGTTAAACATAAACATTGAACAACTATGCAAATTACAGACGTAGAGCATAAGTTATCTGTGGACAGATGATATCTTCTGCTTTGTGACCAACTTTGTTTGTGGTTCACAATAATCTTCCTTCTAACAAATGGCCAAGTAACTATAAGGTATTCATGTCAAAGAGCTACAATGACAAGAGTGCTGGATGTTGAAAGGCTGACACAAAACTGCATTGCTGAAGAAGCAGTTAAAGGTCATAAATTAAAGCTGCAACAATAACGATAATCAATTTGAGAATTCTTTAAAAGAAATATAAAGTAAAAAATCCTGATTTCAGCTTCATATATGTGAAAAGTTTCTGGTTTCTTTCTCCCTCTGACAGTAAACCCACTTTCAAGAGAAATGAAAAAAATGTTTCTTTGCATTTCTTATGTCTTTGGGGCAATAATAACAAAAATCAAAGTTTTTTTTTTTTTTTTTTTTAAACAGACCATGTAGTTTAAATATAGGCCTCTACCAAACATTACAATAATATATAATATGTTAGTATACCAACATATATCTTTTTTTTTTCAGTCAAGTTACTGTGGAATTGGCAGTAATACTAACACTAGTGGTATTTCCATGTGTTTATTTTAGTTATTTACTACTACAATACTTTGAAAACATCTCAGAAATGGTAAAAAATCACATGATATCATTATTTTTTATTAAATATTAAATTAATTGTATTAAATTCTTTTTTTATTTCATAAAAATTGTGAATTTATTCTCTTAGCATTAGCATCACCTTCTTTAACATAGAAGGACAAATCAGCCGTTTGGTTGAGCATGACTTTAGACAGTAAAAAAAAAAAAAATCATACTTTTAAAATTATTTCAGCATAGGTATAACATTATATAACATTAAATGTATTATTTAATAACAATGAATGACCAGAAGTGTTTTTATTTTGTAGTAAATAGTCAGGTTTACTTACATAAGCTTAGCTTCACGACCTTTACTGTAGAAGGACAAATCAACTGTTTGGTAGAAAACGTTTTTAATTATTTTTTTAATTATATGACTCCTGTTAGATTTTAATTTGTTGTATTAAGTTCCATAAATCTGTTGAATAAGAACTTTGAAACTATAACGTGAAATAAACCACACAGTCCTCATGTCTGGAAAGACATTTTGTTACTAACTTCCTGTCAGAGGTGAAGTGTAAAGGCATAGTATTTAAAGACACAGCAACATCTAGTGGATTTTTTTTTAGCATTAAATACCTAAACTGAAAGGTAGAGATAACTCAAGGTTGAGTTGAATTTAACACATTTTTCATTAAAATGTACACTGTAAATATTTGACTGTACATTTACAGTAAATTACTGGCAACTAGTTACATTACTTTCACAGTAAATTACAGAATAATTTTAACCATAAATTGTTGTGACAGGCAGTTCTATACTGTAATCTTACAGAAGTTAAGCCAGCATATTATTGTAATTTAATTTAATTTGCGAGGTAGTGATTCAAAATGTGTTCTACCAAACCGTTTCAAACAAAGTTGAATCATTTTCAAAAAGAATGAATGAATTCAAAGTTGAATAGGTGCAATGTATGAAAGATGTGGAAGATTTTAAGATTTCCAGAGAAGACTTGATAAATGTTTGAAAAAACTGTGAGGGTGTGTGTGTACTTGGACATGATACATAGTGGAGACTAAAAGATGTATTTTAGCAACAGAGTGAGTACATTTTAGCCTGTCCTCACTTCTCCATAGGCCTGTTTGAGGGTTAAGACTTATTGTTTCATGGTTCAGGTTACAGTTAGGTGTGGATTAGGCATTTCAGCCCCATCTCCACATAACACTTTCAGTATGGTACCTTTGGAAGAAAAAAAAAAAAGTAACCCTTCAGACATGGTACCTAGACCCTACAGTAGGTCTGTTTGGCGTTTCCACCACAAACAGTACTCTTTCATGTGGGTGGGGTTGTTGTCACTCACTGCTCCATCCAGCACTTGCTGTATTTCCTCCTTTATCAGTCTGCACCTTGTTTATAGAACGGTGCTACACTCCAACATTTTCAGAACAAAGTAGAACAGGCTGCAGTGAGAGTCTCTCTTAATGGGATATTTAAAAATAGCGGGTTTGTACATTCAGTGCTTTTCAGGCAAGCGCAGAGGCAAGTGCTGCTTTTTTTTTGCATGGACTTAAGAAAAGCCAATGTGGACATTATGGACAATAGCGCGTAGTTCCGCCCCCCTTGTTTTCCCCTTATGCCTGTGTCCCTGTGATTGGCCTGCAATCAGTATCAGCCGATATAAAACGGGTGGAATCCACCGGCTCGGGTCTCTGGGCGTGTCAACCCTTAAGCTAGGTGCACAACCTAACGCATTGATGGACTGACGCTGACTGGAAGTCATTCATTCCAATGGAGGTGAAAATGACGGATAGTAACGGACTAGCGCGCAGCACGGTTCCATTGACCGTGGGACCGTGGAGGCACTGGATTTTTCCTACTTGGGCGTTGACAAGATGGGAGAAGCGGAGCGTAATGGTGCCGAAAGTAGGAATTAAATTGCAATCGCAGTTGTAAACAAACAATATCTCATTTATTTATGCAAAAGAAAAATAAGCATTAGCTTTTTTCCCCACTATTAAAAGTGATTGTTGACCATAGATTGATTTCTATGCGGTTGATAATTACTCTATATTTCGAATTTCGCATTCATTTCTATATATATGTCAGCTCTTTCAATAGCACACTACTCAACTCGTCTCAGTTCATTTGGAACAGTTACTTCGCAGGAAGATATTGCTAGCTCTTCTGCTAGATGACTTCGCTAACAGCTCTCGCCGACAGCACGCTAGCTAGCCACCCGCATCTGGCCAGGTCCGTCAACAACGGAACCTCGCGGCGTTGTTCTGGGGGTGGGGAATGCGTTGGGGAAATGCTCAGTTAAAATGGGAAAAATAGGTTGTGCACCCGGCGGCACCTGCTTTTCCAGACACGCATCAGCTGCTCTGCAGTGTGGAAGACGAGTCGGTGAGCTGCCACGATACTATGGCAGATACTAGGCCAGAGATCAAGATAACAGCTTTGGATCCACAAGATGAGGAGCGTCAAGAGCAGCACGCCAACGCCAACTCTGAGCCACCCCCCTGCCACAGGACGGACCCCTGCTTTTGGACTGAGTATAAAACTCCCATAGATACAGGTGGACAGGGGCGTAGGGTCTTTTGAGGACTGAGTTATTTTCCCATTTTAAATTCACTATTTTATTTTATTATTTTATTCTTCTGTTTTTAATCTGTTGAGTACTGCCCAGTATTTGTATTGGGTTTTTATTAGAACTTTAAACATTCTATTCTTGTACTTAAATAATTTTTCCCTGGTGCAATAAAATAATTTGTTGTACCTAAACTCTGCCCTCTTGCATCTGTGTTGGTGTGGCCCAGGATTTATATATCAGGTACAACTTTGTGACATA